CAATTCTCCAGAAATGATCATTGGATTGAGAAATAAAAAATACCTGTTCAATATTTTTAAAGAACATAATAAAAGTTAATCCCCTCCCCATCCTCTCGGGGTAGGGTGGGTGATAACGTTCAAATCTCAAATGGGGACCCACATTTTTCATTGCAGAATTAGATTGTACGTGAAATTTTTATTGAAACAATTTATTGAAACATAGAATTAGATTGTAAGTGAAATTTTTATTGAAACAATCAATAAGTGTATTGAAGTTGAAGGTAAAAATTTCGAACACTTACTCTAATTAATTGAACAGTGAGAGGCAAGGGGACTCACATTAAAAAAGCACCCGAAGGGAATATAAAACTACTACGTCCTTGTCGTTGTTCCTGTGTAACGCTAAAAGTAGTTTCTCGGAAAAATTCAACGCTATCTATCACGAATGAAAAAAATTGTTTTAATAAAAATTTCACGTACAATCTAATTTTGCAATGAAAAATGTGGGTCCCCATTTGAGATTTGAACGTTATCACCCACCCTACTCCGAGAGGATGGGGAGGGGATTAACTTTTATTATGTTCTTTAAAAATATTGAACAGGTATTTTTTATTTCTCAATCCAATGATCATTTCTGGAGAATTGCGGAAAATAGAATTTTTTGCGATTACAGCGCCATCTATCACGAATCAAAAAAAAAGTTTCGGACAAAATTTACGTATTTTGTGGCGTAGAATCCGTATCTGCAATAAAAAATGGGGGTTTCCATTTAAGATTTCAAAGTTGTCCCCAACCCCCACCCCCAGGGGGTGGGGTGAGAGGTCGAGTTTAGTATCATTGGATGTCCCCCTTCGAGACTAACAACTTTCATTAACCACTTTTCTTTACCCAATGCATAGTTCTCGAGATATTTCAATATCTTCAGATAAATCGTGCACCCTGTATATGTCCAATAGTTTTCCATGTACTACTTGTATGCCAAGTTTCAGGAAAATCGCCGTATGGCACTTCTCTAGTGTTACTTGTTAGTGGAAAGTATGCCTCGGAGATGCCAGGCAATCATCAATGCCGGTGGTGACTGGACTCATTATTAACTATTAATGGTATAGCATTTTTCTTCGCATGGAGTACAACAAATCCATGTACTTAAAAATCATTAAAAATAAATTTTTCTACACATTAACCCGTGCACACTCTTACTTTACAGACTGTAGGTTTTAAAGCGTAAATAAGTTTTAAAGCGTTTTTTATGTGACATATACTGCTGGTTTACAAATCAGAAATTCTCTCGCGACTTTGTCACGTGACTGTAACCGGTCCAGAGTAATAAAAGTTACACAGAAGTTGGCTCAGCATTTAAACGTTCTTAAATGTTGGTAGGTGAAATATGGCAAGCGACGAAGCATTTATTCGTTACCGTATTCGTTACGAATTTCACCAAGGGAAAAGTGCTGCAAAAGCATATGCATCGATATGTCCTGTTCTTGGGGAGAATACTGTATCGAAAAGCACGTGTGAATTTTGGTTCAGGCGATTTAAAGCTAGTGATTTTGAAGTTAGCGATCAAGAACGTAGCGGCGCCCCGCAGAAGGTTGAACATGAGCAATCGCAAGCATTACTGGATGAAGAAATTGTTACTGCTGATCGCTACAAGCAACAATTGCTGCGATTGAACGAGGAAATCAGTCGAAAACATCCATTTACTGGCAAAGGATTACGCTAAATTGCTCCATGATAACGCCAGACCGCATATTGCAAAATCGGTCAAGGAAACGTTATTGACGCTTGGTTGAGAAATTTTGAAGCACCCAGCGTATAGTCCAGACATAGTCCCTTCAGACTATCACTTATTCCGATCCATGCAAAATGCTTTGTCTTCAGTTCACTTCCGGCCATTTGACGAACTGCAAAAATGGGTTGACGACTTCATAGTGTCGCACGACGAATACTTCTTTACTGCTGGAATCCGTCAGCTGCCTGACCGATGGCAGAAGGTGATAGATAATGACGGCGCATATTTTAATTAATAAATGTATTGTTCTTTTCTCTCAAATACGTTTTGCATTGTCTTAAAAACGCTTTAAAACTTATTTGTACATAATATTTGTACCTAATACATTTCCCACTGAAAATCCGTGCCATGGTCGGCCTGGTGGCGAGTCTGCGGTTTCGAGTGGCACTTTGAGCATCAACTACCCCTAATAGCACATATGGTTGGGCCTGTATATTGGCTACAAATTGGGCCCCCAATATTGGCCAATGTAACCCCAATATAAGTCAATATTGGTATAACAATGCTATGTAATATTGGCGATATATTGTAATTTAATGTCTAACCAATATTGGCTGCATATTGGGATACATTGGACCAATGTAACCCCAACGTAAGTCAATATTGGTATAACAATGCTATGCAATATTGGCGATATCTTGTAATTTGATATCTAACCAATATTGGCTGTATATTGAGATATACTGGGCCAATGTAACTTCAATTTATGTCATCATAACCAATGCAACACCAATGTAATGCCAATGAAGTGTGCTACTAGGGACAGAAAGACTCCGTCGCGAGCCGCGGCTCTCACGCGCGTCGTCTCGTCCACAACCCACAACGCAAGGGCCGTCTAAACAACGAGAATTATGCCGAAAGTCATAGCGTGGGAAAACGCGACAAGGACGTCCAACCGCGACGTGCCGCGGGGCGAGAGGAACGGAGGATGGAGGGCGGGCTGTGAGGACGAAGCGCGCTATAATCTCGAAGGTTTATCGACGCCCTCGCGACGGGGATCGGCAGGAAAACGTGAAATCTATGGCTCTATCGCGCGGTGCGCGCTTGTATGTATGCGTATCGCACATCGCTGCTCGGTAATATGCTAATACCGCGACGGGGGGTACTTTACGATCGCTGCATCGTGCTGGATATCGTAATTATTGTCTCACCGCTCGCTTGCTCGCGCGCGGCACAATACGACGCCATGCGTGCGTATGTATCGTCGTCGATCGTTGCATCAATCGTACGAGAGCTCGTGCACCGTAATTGCGCGAGTATCCTTTGAACATTCAACGTCACGCAACGGGCTCATGTTACGGCTGTTTATCAACGGACACCTCGCTACTGCTGACGCATCAAATTCCGAGGGATTTCAAATACAATCCTGCGGCTTCATGCCTGACTTCGCATAGTTTCTCGCGTCGAAGAATCGTATGTCAAGTAATATAGTTCAGAATGTGCAGTTTTCAGCTAAACATTTTTTCTAATCTACTAGATAGTCTCATATCACGGCACGGTCCGCTATGCAACGCTTTAAATATATTTATTTTGTCGCCTTTAAGGAGTTAGGCCACCTTGGTCCGGTCAAAACCACTGTCATTTACGGAAATTCTTCTGAGGACATAACAAAAGAAATACAAGAATGAAATTAAGATATTTATTAAGTGACTCTTTAAGGGAAGAAAAGCATTTTTTTCTAAATATTTTAAACAAAATGACGGCGTTGAAGTCGAGACACTATTGACCGACGATCTCAGCGGTGTTCAATCTCACGGTTACAGCATTGGACGTAAAACAAAAATGAAAAAAATTTTTATTATCTAGATACTAGAAACTGAAGAAGTACATATGGATTTTGCGAAACATTAAAAACTTTTTTTGCAATTAACACTTTTGCACAAAATTTTTAGGTCAAAACATGAAATTCTTTTTCAAGTGTTTACCATTTCCAATAAAATAAGTATTTCTAAATATCTATATGTACTTCTTCAGTTTCTGGCATCTAGATAATAAAAATTTTTTCGTTTTTGTTTTGCGTCCAATGCTATAGTCGTGAGGCTGAACACCGCTGAGAGCATCAATCAATAAAGGTTCCCAGTGTCTCGGCTTCAACGTCGCCATTTTGTTTAAAATATTTACAAAAGAAATACTTTTTTTCCCTTAAAGAGTTGCTTAATAAATACCTTATTTTTATTTTTCTATTTCTTTTGTTATATCCTCAGAAAAATTCCCGGAAATGACAGTGATTTTGGCCCGTCCAAAGTGGTCTAACTTCTTAAAGTAGTCCCCATTCTGTGCAACACACATATGCCAACGCTTAATCCAATCTTCAAAACACTTTTTAAAAGCTGATTTAAGTACGGCCTTGAGTTCCTTCAGTGAAGTCTCTTTTACTGCCTCAGTCGTCTCAAAACGTTTACCACAAAGCGGTAATTTGAGTTTTGGAAAGAGAAGAAAGCCACAGGGTGCCATATCTGACGAATACGGTGTATGCGGAATGATGTTAATCGACTGTTTGGCCAAATAGTCAGGTACGAGAAGCGATGTGTACGATGGTGCATTATCGTGATGCAAAATCCACGAGTTGTTTTCAAAATGGTTGTGGTCAAAATGGCACGGACAGAGCCATTTGATACATTAAGCTCGGCAGCAATCTCTCTTTCACTCACACGGCGATTCCCAAACACTAATTTCTTTACTCTTTTAACGTTTTAACATTTCCGTCAGTATTTGACGTGGATGGCTGACCAGAACGAGGCACATCTTCGACGGTTGTATGACCCTCTTTGAACAATTTATACCGCTCATACGCCTGTATTTTTAAAATATATTTGTCCTCAAATGTTTTTTGTAGCATTTTCAACGCGTGGCACAAGATATTTCGTTGAAAACACAAAATTTAAGGCAAACTCTGCTCCACAATATTCGACATCGCAAAAATCGCAGATGGTACCTGAAGTCGACTGACACAAACGGCTGCCACGAACAAACTAATTGACAGATCGCGCTCTAGTTCTGTATGGAAGTTAAGTACAGTGGTACCAACTTAACTACAAAAGGATTTTGGAATATTCTAAACGCGCGTCATTTAAATGAATAATATTGAGTACTTTTTGAGCAGAAGATATATCAGTATAAACCAGTATATTTGCTGAGGAGAAATTTGATATGAGGGAAGGGAAGGGAGATAGATAAAACACAATATATCGCGCGCAGCTTTTGAGAATCAGGACGACTTACCGCGACGAGGGTGCTGAGAGCTTCAATTCGCATAGTAGCTGGCCGGGCCAGCAAGGAGGCCGTCGGTTGCGATTTGGTGGATCGATCTGCCTGTATCGATCCTTCGATTACCGATTTCTCCGGCTGTCGACGTCACTCGGCCTTAAGCGCACCGTGATGCCGACGATGATGGCTCTTCTCTCCCGGCTCGATGCCGATTTCTCGTGATCCGCCGTGCCGAACCGGCGATGACATGGCTACCGCGCCGATCTGTCGACAAGCGTCACATGTATTAATGGAATGTGATTGCACTATCGCTGCTAATCGCGACGTAATAATCTCGTCGAATCATCGCCTCGTCCGAATCCTTATCGGCGTTCGCGATCGATCGATTATTTTCATGCCGCGATTACATCATACGTTATTGGCCACGCAGATTCGTCGCGATCGTGCCGATCATTCCGGAGATCAATCCGCCTTCTGGATTGTGCAAACAGATTTCGTAACGTTCTACTCGTCATTTAGAGATTCATATCCGGCGCGGCTGCCTTTGCCTAATAGATAAGAAATCGTTACTCATTCCGTCGCGATGTTACGAAGCCTGAGAAGACGCGAAAACATAAATATCAGACGTTCGCGTTCAGATGCTCTTGAATAAAAAACTATAATAATATTTACTTATACAGAAAACTATTCGGTCGATGGGTGCGTTCACGACACTCAACAGTTGCGCAACTGTTGAGTAATTCGTCAATATTATTGGCCTGAATATAAGGATCTAACAGTAAGGACCAATAGTCACTAATCGCTCACTGAGCGGTTTTCTCCGCTGAACGCACCCGATATAACTAAATTTCATTTAAGTCAACCAAAATCTTTCGTTCTTTAGGAGTCAATTGAAAATTTGTACAAGAAAAATTCCGTTAGAAGGTTTCTGTCGTCTCAGAAATACAGAATGGCTCATTCTAATTTATCCACGCAAATATCTCGAAAAGTATAAAAGTTACGGAAAAAGTTACGGAAAAACGTTTCAGACAAAAGTTATTTAGTTTGAAGGGGAATATAAGACAGTGATATCATTTTGTTTACAGATGGCGCCACTTTGGAGATATTCATCGATCATTACTTTTCTCAAATGGAAACCCCAGTCTGTTATTATATTATATTTTTCTACCAATTAATTTGAACAACTTTTGTCAGAAATGTTTTTCCGTATTTTTTATATTTTCGAGATATTTGAAAGGATAAATTAAAATGAGTCTGTATATTCGGTCATTTGAATTGAGTATTAATGTTGTCAATCGTACAAGTTTGTTTTTCACGCGAGTAAACAAAAGATCTGTTTCTTTTTTGACGGACTTCTGAACTAATGCAATAAGTTGGAGTGAAACAAATATATTTTCTCTCATTCTGACTTACTGTTAACTCTACTAATGTGCATTAGTTTAAAAATTCTTCGAAAAAGAACAAATTCAGAGAGTCCTTGTGTACGTAAGTGGAGGGAAAAACGTCTGCACGGCCGGGTTTAAAATTGCATCACTCATAGTAAAGTTAATAATTAAAATTTCGATCTCAATTGTCTAACATTTCTGGACATTTGAGAATCAATATAGGTTTGTAGTTTATAAAGCGTTGTATGTATTATAGATATAATTTACATTTTTATATAAATTCAATTTACAGAATTGAAGTCACCCTCTAAACACAAAACTATTCGGTTGATACAACTGAATTTCAGTTCATGACAATCGAAACCGTTTCTCAGAAATTGAAAATTCTCAATTGGAAATTTTGTTGTAACATAAAAGAAATTCCGTTACAAGGTTTCTGTCATCTGAGAAATATATTCGCTCATCTGAACCAAACACATTAATTGTCATACAATAATATTGTCATACAATATAAAGGATACAAGTTTCGTTTCTCACACAAGTAAACAGATCGTTGAAATTTCGTTTCTCTTTTGACATACGAAACTCTGCTGCGGCGATTATATTTTTGAAACGGAAAATTTTAGTTGCTTCAATCAAAAGCAGTTGTCAATGCGAATGATTTTTCAGTTTGCGAGACAAAATTTTCTATTACTGCAACCGAACTTCATGTGACAGAAAATTTCTAGTTGTCACTATAGAGCATTTGTCTGCGTGATGAGCTAATCAATCGCTTTATTTATGGAAACATTTTTTCAATAGCATTATCCTACATTATCAACATTACACAAATCATTATTTATCACGATATAATCGGCTCGATCGAGACACGTTTTGAGAAAAGACAGGAGAATCTTCACGGGAGGACATTTCTCGGGCGATGGTGCAGAAGGGTTATAAAGCGAGGAGACCGGAAGAAAGCGTTAATCACGGGAGGAAACAAGATCCGGATCTATAGATCAGCGGATTAATAAATACGCTCGTTCTCTGATATGTCCAAGTTCTGACCGCAAAGCGCCGCACTCTGTCCGTCCTATTCAGGGATCCGGACTGGACCGGTGCCGGAACCGATAACCGTTTTAAAACCGATTTTTATGAACAAACCTTAACCATAATTGTACCGAAATTTTATAATATCAAATAGACCGAAACCGATATCGGACCGATAAAAATGTTTTCGGTTTTCGGTCCTTTTTCGGTTTCTACGACGCCCCATGTATCGCTGCCGCCGATTATTTATTAGAAAATTCACACCACGATCAACGTACTACAACAGTTACGTTCAGGGCCTCTATTCCGTTACTGTGGTTCCGACAATTGCCGGTTGTTAACGACATTGCGCAGCTTTTTTATTGTATGAATTATAAGGATAAAATAAAAATAGATAATTTCATATTTTGTGATCACAATCTCAGAAAATAAAACAAAATAACAGAAAATAAAACGAGAGCAAAACGGCCGTTGGAAACAGATAGCTACAACGTTGCCACAAAAATCTCAAAAACAGAGGAAGCAATACCAAGTATAAGACAAGTACATCAAATCGAAACCATTAATGTTAGTTAAAATTGATAGAAAATGACGCCGCTTAAATATTTTTGTGAAGAAAATTCGTTTATATATTACATATTGTAATATTGTAATTTACAAAAATAAATATTTATATAAAAAAGTAATTTTGAAAAAACCGTTATTTCAAATGGTTCCAGTTATGCCTAACTGAAACGAAACCGAAATTGAGAACCGTTACGAAATATCTTGTTGGACCGTAACCGTAACCGGACCGAAATTTTGTTTCGGTTCGGATCCCTGCTCCTATTACGAACTCGATTTCCTCGTGATGCATTCTCACCTTTCGACGTGTCCCGCGAAGTTGGCCGCGAACGTGTACGCACTGAAGCGGTCGTCGCGGTAAACCTGTTCCGAGCGCGAACGATTATCATCCGATCCTAAAGGCGCGAAGTCTTTGCATAATCGCCCCGGGCCACTCGACTTGTCGATAAATCGCCGCTCGCGGAAATCGCAAGCGACATCGGGCCGCGACACGTGAATCGCTCGCTCGCTCGCTCTCTCCCTCGGCAGGACGACACACTCGCCACGACACTTGGTGACTGACTGGTGGATCCGATATTCAACATTTGCCGATAAAACACGCCGGCGCCGGCATGAGAGCAAACTGTCTCGCGCTGTCTCAAAGTAACCGTGAGCCAGGTGTCTCGTCATTTCGACGTCTACGACGATGCTGCGAATCGATATCTTATCTTGCGGCAGGCTCGCCGCGATGATTACGTGTTGTTGGCCTACCTACCGAACGAAATGCACCGCGGCCGAGTGCGCGGGGACTCGTCGCGTCTCCTCTCCGCCTTCGCGCGTTATCTCCGCGCCGCTCGCCGAACTTGGGCTGATTAGACGCGCGATTAGCGACGTGGCGAGCGATAATCCTGCCCGAAGCGCCGATCCTGCGCGCTCGCGGCCGGACGGCGCGAGGCGCCATGCACGGCCAGCATGGCGGTATCGACATCGGCGCTCTTGGCATCATTCGTTATGTGAGTTAATGACTCTCGAGAAATCATCGATTGGTCCCCGTCGGGAAGCCGCGACGCCTCTCACGGTGGAAACACGCCTTCTCACGTACCGTAATGGACGGGACCTGACGCGTGCGCGCGTTCGCCGTTCCGGGCGAGGAGGAAACGCGCGCGGCTGCACCGACAAACGGCGAGGAAAAATGCGGGTCCTCGACGATGACGACGACGATGACGACGACGACGACGACGGATCGGGCAAGGTGATTCTGCTGGAAACGCGCGGCCGGTCTCCCGCGCTGCGTTGTTTCCTCAGCCGCCGAAGCCGATTCATCCCGAGCGAAGCTCGGGCCGAGGTCGGCCGTGTCTTCTAGACGACACGCGTCCGACCCCGAAGACCCGCTGACGACCCGCTGACCTGGGGCTCTGTTCCGGAGGCGGAAAATCCGAGCATTTAATCCCATGTCCCGACGTCCGACGGCCGATGGCCGTCTGTGTCGCGCGCAACGTTGTTTTAGAATCATATCTGGCGTCCGGGATAAGGCGAAGGCCCGGTGCGAAGATCCGCGACGAAGAGAATCACCTGTCGTCGTGAGTTACCGTGCAGCGGCATCTTCGGATGGAAATATTACGGGTGCGTCCGATTCGATCGCTTAGAGGTGGACGGCCGGCGCACAGTGGGAAAAAAATCACAATTTACTGTTCAAAAATCGCTACAAATTGTAATTCTGAACCGATCGAGACGATTCACGTCTTAAATTAATCGTTAATAAATTTCAAAGAAAACTGTGGAGCTCGATTTAAAAAAGAAACCCTCTGAAATTTGCAATATTAACAATAATGATTATTAATAATAATGGAAATTATTGTTAACCAGAAATTGAAATCAGAAGAATGTAAAGTTTCTTTTGCATTAAGCTATCTTACGGGGTTTACGGGGTCGCTGAATACGAATCTGATGTTAGAATTAAGATTGGACTATTGACAATTGTCAACCTTGCTGTCAACTTAAAAAAAAAATGCATATTTTTCAGCAGGAATGGGAACACATTAGAGTTTTTATGGTCGTCGAATACGAATCAGGTGTTAGAATTAATAATAATAGAATTAAAAATAATTAATAATAATAATATTGGAATTCATAATATTGTATATTGTTAATATTAATAATATAAATAATAATCAAATCTTATATCAAATAAGAAAATATCTTTGGCATACTAGTAACGTGATGACATAATAATAACATAATATTTTTCACTGTGTGTGTGTAATCTATATTAGAAAGCAACATTATGCTAGCTGTCAACTATCAAAT